TAACACAAAATCTTAAATATTGACAGACAAATGTCTCCACAGATTTTAAAAGAAAAAAAAAAACCCTTTTCTATACATCCCACTTTTCAGTTCATTCCTAAAAGCACGTCTTGAGTTTTTAGAAAAGGGATTGCATTTAGAGATAAACTGGTTTAAATTAATTTCAAGTTTCCGCAATTGATAATCACTGAAAAGCGCAAAAACTCACTGCATATATGAGGAGAGGACGACCATAATTATGGTTTAATTTTTCTATATTTCCCCAATCCTTTCATTTATGTGCATATTCCTAACAAGACGCTAGCCCTTACTCAAATGACATGTTATGCCGTTGAGAGCGATAGTAATAATGTGAATGGTTACAATCAGCCGACCGACTTCCACGAGACAGACATCATCGGTCAAATAAATAAATTAATTAATAAAATTAATGATAAAAACTCTGGTCTTAACAATAATAACAAATAGTAATAGGAACTTCAATGTGAGAAAGGGATGATTAATATTTATTCCAAGAAACAGTGAATGAGTACTTCTTCAGGTGATTGTGATCCTTTAAAAGTGGGGATAGATTCCATTATTCCCGGTTTCTCTCACAATATAAGTTATTTGAAAATTAATTGAAAAAGTCAGTACTATCAAAATCTGATCGTAAAAAGGTACTTATCATTTTGGAGTTTCTCTTTACACATCCATTTGAAGAAAAAAAGTTACTAGATGACAATGGCAATCTAACCCAAGAGTGCTAGATACAAACATGCAAGCAACTACTTTTGAAACAATTCAATCAAAGGCAATTCCAATAGCCTTGTGCGTCACCCATTGAAGTGTGGAAACAAGACAATAAGGTATTACGTAATCCTAAATGATTGCCAAATGACGACATACAATAGGGTTTGGAAATTGCCCTTGGTTTGATTTTGGAAAATAGTTGAGATCGTGTTCAATTAAAAATCAAAAATGACATGAAGCCCTCATGGTATTAATCATTATGACAATCATAATGTTTTCTTATTTACATGATTATGATTATTACTGAAAGTAGACTCTCAAATCAGTTGACAAGAGCATCTTTTATCAACAATTCAATAACTTGAAACTAGTGTTTCCTGTTAGCTGTATATTTGAACCACCACTCCACCTTTTGGTATATTCCTTTCGCAGTATTCGATCATAATAAAAGTAATCATCGAAAATTCCATTGAAGAAGATGAAATTTCTAACCCAATAAAAAGATGATTACTCTTAAAACTTAGATATCACACCGTATCTTTACTTTTTTTTTATTAAGAAAGAAATGCAGACCAATATATATGGGAAGTGTGAGATCACGAAAGGTTGAATAATGAAAATGTAATTGTTGCTATGCTATTCGGTTGAGAAAAATGTATACTTTTCTTTTAACATAGTCAAGTAAAAAAACGAAACAGAAAACAAGCAAAATGACAAACAAAAACATGTTGTTTATTCGAGGGTACAAACCACAATTCTACAATGCAAACCAAGAGTATAAACCACAATAGCACATCGTATATCGTGTGAATGACCCATAGATTAGGTTGTGCCTGCATGGTGAGAAAATTATTATTGATGATCGAATGCGTTTGTAGTGGTGATCTCATGAACAGCAAAAAAGGTTTTATGATTGAGTGCAGAAGAATATTATTATTGATGATCGAATGCGTTTGTAGTGGTGATCTTATGAACAGCAAGATTAGGTTGTGCCTGCATAGTGAGAAAATTATTATTGATGATCGAATGCGTTTGTAGTGGTGATCTTATGAACAGCAAAAAAGGTTTTATGATTGAGTGAAGAAAAATATTATTATTGATGATCGAATGCGTTTGTAGTGGTGATCTTATGAACAGCAAGATTAGGTTGTGCCTGCATGATGAGAATATTATTATTGATGATCGAATACGTGTGTAGTGGTGATCTTATGAACAGCATGAAGGTTTTATGATTGAGTGAAGAGAGAATCGCTAGAGGGCTCTTAGCAACGATCAGTGGGGTATTATTTCATTGGAGAGCTAGCCGGATACAGCCGCCTACGCCCTGGGGCAGACATCCCCACTCTCCACAACAAATAGATATTAAATTCTCTCTAAATATGAAGAAGGCGAGATTGGTTGAATGGCTGGGGTTGGTTTAGATGTGCCCTTTATGATTGGGTAGAGGTGATGGGTCGAGAGGGGTAGAATCATAAATAAACAGTCACAGCAATGCAAGACTACAGAGTGTAACATATAAATCCATACAAGAGGGAAGAGTGTACGAAAAAACAAAACAGAACTAAAATAATAAAATACGATGGACTCAAGCTTCTTTTGTTTTTAGATTCAACGAAAAGAGAGTGCAATTTGAGGCAACCGGTGATATACATGAGTAATTGTATGGTAACATTTTGAGTTATGATGAATTTTACTAAACATATAGAAACATAAAAGGAGTGCCGATGCGAGACTGAGCAGATAATAATGGATGAGGGGGTTTCGAATAAAAATGGAACAAATATATACAAATGATGGTGGTGAATATTAGGCAGTTGTGTTGCATAGCAGCCATCTATAGGTAGGTAATTAAACGGGTGGCTAGTCGGTGAGCCTCGGGGGAATTTCTGCGGCAAGGCGGTGGAAATATCGATAGGATTTTATAGAATATGAGCAAAGAAAGCTGTACTCATAGGCGTGTAGTGAGATTCATCTGCTTCACACCTCTTCCAACTCTCTATTGGAAGTAATTGCACTTTTATTATTAATATCACAATATAGGATATATACACTAACTATTCGCTCTCCTCTTCTTTCCCTCCATCACGTCTCTCATCTTGTTTTGTTGCCGTCCTCCAATCTCTTTTCTCCACTTCCCATCCCCAATGTCTTTTCTCCTCTCTCTCTCTCTCTCTCTCCATCTCTCTTTTATCACCGTATAGTATGTGGAAAGCGCAAAAGCGTTGATAGACATGTTTCTTATTTATTTATTTACCTATTCGTTTAACTATTTTTGTATTCATTTAATTAATGAAGTATCTATTCATTCATTTATTTATCTTAATCTTTTATATATTTATGTATTCGTTCATAATATATTTATTAATTCATTTTAATTATTATTTTTTTTATTACATCATCATCTTAATTATTATGTTTTCCTTCTTTGTATTCAAGGGTACAATCTTGATGAAACACAACTAATGCTGTTTTACACTCAACACACACACGCACACGCACATGCACACGCACGCACACGCACACACACATGCACACACACACACACGCACGCACGCACACATGCACACACACACACACACGCACACGCACACACGCACACACGCACACGCACACGCACACACACACGCACACGCACCTACATACGCACCCGCATGCCCCACACCTACATACGTCAACCAGACTGAAAGATAGTTGATAGAGAATACCGTCGCAGATCAGTTCTGAAATGTTTGTACTGTAATGCACTTTTAATAGATCAAAACATTTAAATAGCTGACCGAATAGTATGCATGCATATCCATTATAAGATGGATGACTTTGGTACTGTGATAATTTATTCTATACAAACGTATAAACTAGATATGAATTTCTTCAAACATACATAGTGACTAATCTAATCATTTTACAGCATCCTGAATAAATCGGAAATTTATCCATTTTAAAAATAAGATTATATCATCCCCATCCTAAACTATTAAAGCAGATAGTACAGTAGCATATAAAGAGCTTCTTCTACACCATACATTGTAGTGCGGTCGCAAACATATGTTTTGTCCCATGTTAAAAGAAGACCACGTGATATGTTTATTGAATCATGACCGGTTTATTATTGCTGTTGATGGGATGAATAGCTCGTATTCCTTCCATTAAACACACTGGGCGTGAAGAGTCTTATTTGTATAGCTTAGATGAGAATGTTTGTAATTCATGAATACGTTTACATCTTATGAAGATAGAAGTGACGTCACGTATACCCTTACACCCCATGGCCCGAATTCACAAAGCAAGGTTTGAGCTCAGACCAAGGTTTGACCTCAAACCTCCTTTTGTTTCGCCAAACCTCCTTTTGTTATTTACAAACCTGGTTTGTAAATAACAAAGGGAGGTTTGGCGAAACAAAAGGAGGTTTGAGCTCAAACCTTGCTTTGTGAATTCGGGCCCATGTGTTTAAAGGGTGTGGCCACCCTGACATTCAGTTTTTTTGTATAAATTAAATAAATTCAAAAACCATAGAAACAAATTACTATAAGTTTGAACAATATCCTATTAAAAATAGGCAAGTTATACATTTTTGAAGTTGTCATCACTGAAACACTAATTGGCAACACTGGCGTGTCTCGGAGAACATGTCCGATTTTGCTCTGTACATAAAATTTCGAACTATCCTTTTCTGATTTTGTTGATGACGTAATAGCTTTGTTTCATACAGAGGTGGTATGACAATATATTCGCAATAATTAAAATTAGAGTGAATGTATGATTGACAATTTTTTTGGGTGAAAATACTTGATTGTTGCAGTTTGTAACACAGGGCAAATGTATGAGACCTCGCAACATACGTCAAAGAGTTGCACAATAAGATTGATTGATCGCACCTTCACAAATTCATAACTTTCTTATTTTTAATCGAATTTTGCTCAGACTTTCACACGTTTTTCTTTTTTTCTGCGTCCATTAAAAACAACTAAATATCCAGGTGCACCTCCTCTTAAAGAGTGTATACCAAATGTCCGAAACATCTATGCTATCATCTTACTGCTTGGGTTTGAAGAATCACGCCTTGGTGTGGTTAATCCACTACATTGTTAATCAAAAGATTAAGACGTGTTCGTTTCCCTGCCAAGTGAAATTTCTCTGGAACGATGTATATTAACTTCATCAGTGTTTTACAACTTACCTACACATTAACTGGAAATGTCAAAACAAGCACCTAATCCTATTTTAAAATATTGATATTTTCTTTATTTTTTCTCTCCACAGTGCTTTGCTTGGTGTCAGGTAACAAAGGACCTCAATTCTACCAGGTGCCTCCTTCTGTAGTAGCCTTCGCTACGACTCAAGGGGGTCGATTAACCTGCTCAGCTATAGGAGATCCCACACCAGTAGTAAGATGGGTCATGGCAGCTGATGGGTCAGCCGTTCAGAACATCGAGCATAGTCGCATCGCAGATGGTAATGGTACATTGTCATTTCCACCATTCTCCAGTAAGGAGATAATACCCGAAGTCCATGACGGAGTTTACCGATGTATAGCAACGAATCGAATCGGAAGTATTCGGAGTCCTGATATTCGGGTCAATGCTGGTACGTTTATCTCGTGTTTCAATTCAAACAATGTTGGTTGTTGTGGTGACAGTGTAGTGAGCGTCAGTGGTGTGATGTAATCAAATTACACTATTAGCATTTATTATACATGTCTTGTTATTCTGCCCAAATTCTCTTTCTGCCTCTCTCTCCCACTGTCCACCTTCCCCTCTCTCCAAAACGCACTCTCTCTCTCTCTCTCTCTTTCTCCCTCTCTCTCTCTCGCTCTCTCTCTCTCTCTATTCACCTGTTCTGTTCTTATACATAATCATGCTGCATTTCATTTTAAAGTTTGTTTTTGCTCTTTAAATGGCCGTATGGAGTATTGCTGAGGTTCAGTGGTGTAGCTACTCCCCCTATACCAATGGAATGGGAGAATGAAGATAACACAAAAGTAAAGAGAGAGAAGAGAGAGAAAGAGAGAGAGAGAATGATAGAAAGAAGAAAGAGAGAGGGAGAAAGATACAGAAACAAATAGTGAGATAAATATACAGATAGATATATTTATATATATATATATATATAGAGAGAGAGAGAGAGAGAGAGAGAGAGAGAGAGAGGGTGGGGTCAAGGAAGGTAACACCATTAATATGACCCCTTCCCCACACCCTCACCGACGAGATATCCTCATTGTATTGCAAGGTATCATAATAGGACCACTTTTCACCCCCTTAATACCAGTTCCAGGCGCGTACGCAGGATTTTTTCAAGGGGGGGGGTTTTAACATTTATAAATCGGTCCGAAAATTTCGCAACGACTCAGCCAGCCGCTGAATAAGCGGGGGGGGGGGGGGGGGGGGGGGGGGGGGGGGGGGGGGTAAAGAGGACACATTTTTTTTTTTTTTTGGTCCCCAAAAAATAGCAACGACTCAGCCGACCGCTGAATAAGAGAGGGGGGGGGGGGGGGGGGGGGATAAGAGGACAATTTTTTTTTTTTAGGGGGGTTTACACATAAAAAAAGAGAAAAGGGGGGGGGGGGTTTAACCCCCCAAACCCTCCCCCCCCCCCCCCCCCTGCGTACGCGCCTGACCAGTTCCCCTTAAGAGTTGATCTATTCTACACATCTACCCATATTTCCAGGAATAACCATTTCTCGAAAATACTTGAGAATGTCTGAATGCAAATTTAAATCATCAGTTAGAAGCTACTTTTAGGTTACCATGAAGTCAAGTGGTCGACTAAATGAAGGATAACGAGTGAGCATTGATTACAAGACTAACTACTAGAAAGACATCCTGGGTCGGTAAGAGTAACTACTCTAGTGATTCTTCGATCGAATTACGCGACTCAATTGAAATGGGAGTCAGTGGTCTAGCAGAGTGGATATGTCATTCAGAGTTAAACAGACGTAAGTTACATCTCCAAATCTACAACATTAAACTTCTCTTTAAAGCCCGTCTGTACTAGTTTGGCCAGGGGGTTAAACCACCTGCAAGGTCACTGACAGGTAGTTATCTCATCAAATCACCTTGAATTGTTGAAGAAAAAGGGGATCATGGGGGAAAAACAGACACCGATTAGGCATTGTTTAGTATATAGAGAGCGCAAGTAGCTACAGGTAGTGCAGTGGTGATTGAGCCAAGAGGAAGCATTATTTTGTTCAGTCTCACGGTGATAACTTACACCCAATATTTGTGGCTGTGTATGAAGAAACAAATCACATGGTAGGTAGACAATTTGTAATCTAAAGCGAACTGAAGGGAAATTAATCGGTTAAGCAGGAATATCACAGACACAAAAAATGCAAACGATTAGAAAGCTATGAACTTTGATAGTCGAGAATCTGATATTGGCAATAGTATATGACTTCGTTTATAGGGAAATTGTTCTCTGTGACGAAAGAATCATGTTTTTGTCTCATTTTACCCATATTATACTATATCATGTATAACCACGGGATTTCTTGCTTGAAAATGATAAAGGGGGGGGGAAGAAAATTATCTCTGGAAATAACAAATAATATAAATATAAATATGTAAATATAATATAACCAACATGAGCGTGAAGACAGAATAGCAGAGAGGATATTGTCATGTTAGTGTTTCTTTAAAATGACGATATATATATATATATATATATATATCAACATATGTTCCACAAAACTGGAGAATGGACTTATAGCCTTAAGGTAGTAAAGGTGGCTCTCTTTCTAAACAGTCACAGATTTCTTGTGTTCACAGACCATAGTGGACTCGTTACGGCCGAGTTCCGTTCAGAGCGGCCACATTACGCGCTAAGACGGCTCGTTGATTTGATTACTCTTACGCGGGGGAAGACGGCGATGCTTGTCTGCTGAAAGGCTATATCATTCACACTGGTGTGTCCATACACTTCTATGCCATTCACACTGGTGTGTCCATACACTTCTATGCCATTCATGAGGGCGCACGACCACAATTCTCCAAAGGGATGTAATCTTTTACCGAAATATCTACATCACACCTTTTAGACAACCTCCGAGTGAGCGAAGCGAGCGACGAAAAAAATTAAAACAGTTTTTAGTTAACAGCCTCCGATGGTACGCTTTTGTAACCCGCGGCGGTGATTGGATGAAAATTAACTTTATTATTCAATTAAAATATATAGGAGTACAAAGAAACCACTCTTGCTTACCCGTACTGAGGCAGTTGCGATATATAAGGAGGGGGGTAGTTTGAGAAGCCCATAATCCCTTTGCATCGTATTGTACGCCTATGACGATGAGGTGAGAAAGGGGTTGCTTTTTTGAAAATACTATTACACAAATATGTAGCCAAAGTTTCCTCCTATAACTAAAGAAAAGCAAATATTGCTCTTGGATAACCTATCCTGTTCCATTCATCATTTTGTCACTTTCTTCACATTTTATTGTTGTAATAAATTTCAATTCCAATGTAAAAGCATAGAACGAAAACAGACCAACAAGAAGGAACGAAATGATACAAGGTCTTGTGCGTAGACTACAAACTTATTGAACCAAAAGATGTGGTAACAGATCAACTGTGCGAGGAAATATAGAAGAGCAAAGGAATATAAATAGAAGGGTGTAAGCATGAAAGAAGAGACGCGATGAGAGTGAAAAACGGAATGTAAAGTGCATTAGCACAGCCTTCTCTTTGAAAGGAATTAAAATGCGTAAACTGTTATACGCCATACCATTACACTTACATACGTGGACGAGGAAACCCGATGCATGCAGCTGGGAGGTTTACTTTTCTACCAAGCGTGAGTAAATACGCCACCGTGCACCCACTTGTGAAAAACCATGTACAAGACTTTTCACTTACCACAAATATCCTTCCGCCTCACCGCCTTCGATCGCCAATAAAGCAAGGGATCGAATGTCCAATTTCTATTTTCTTATTGGCTAGATCAGGGGAGAATACGAGTAGAGATAGAGAGAGAGAGAGGGAGTAAGGAGGGGGAGATATATTGTGAGGGAACGTCGATTTATTTGTATTGAATGCATATCTCTTTCTATTCCATGTGTCGTAGACGTGGTTCTAAAGGGTTGGAAATGCTGGTGGGCATCCTGTTGTGAAGAAATGGGCAAACTAGAAAGAAAGGAAAAGGTTAATGTTTAGCCAGCGGGACTCCGGAAAAAAAATCATTATCCGTAAAAATATAATAATATTACATTCAGAAGTCAAACAAATCATTTGAATCTTACAAAACTCTATTCTTTCCTTTGCAAACAGCTATGCATTTGTATTGTGCCACCAAATCATATATTACTATAGGATATGTTTATCAAACGTTTGTTCGAGCCGGATAATTAAATTTTAAAATACAGAATAGAAGGACATCTGCTCGCAATTTGATTAATAACGTTTCCTTTAATATCAACTGCATTTTTACAACTCTATTTAGCTGTTTATATCTGTTCAACAATTCCACACTGTTTATAAAAAAAAAAAAAATTTGATTTGGTCTTAGCAGAATATTTTTTAATAAAAAGTCTCTATTAAAGACCGTCAATACTACTGGGCCAGAAGGGATTAGACCACACAGCCAGGCCACTGACAGGTGGCTATATCATTAACTCAGCTCTCAACTAACATAAGAAAAAGAGAATCATGGGGGACCAAAAGGCAGCGATTGGGGAAGTTTTCCATATACAGGGATCAAGTAGCTACAAGTAGAATTGTGGGGATTGAAGATAAAGCTTACACAATATAAAATGTAAAGTGAGAAACATGAATTAGTAGAGCTAACAGCCGAAGTAATGAGAAGACAATTCTATTATATCGGATTTGTGGTAAATAGATATTGAAATACAGTAAACTCTAATAGATGCGTTGAGTAAAACAAGCAGTTGTTCCCTTTCGTCGTTATTATCTCTCTCTCTCTCTCTCTCTCTCTTACATACACGGCTCACAGACTCACACACACACATACCAAACTATATCTCTTTCTATCCTCTTCCATTTCCTTTTTGTTTGTGTTTTGTCTCTTTGAATCGAGGCGATTTGGTAATGATGATTCATGCCTTACGAAAGGGCAAAAGCGCACTGACTTGGTTCCGAACCCGAGACCTCCAGCATTATAAGAAAGGAAAAAATCTGCCCAATATTCATTACGGCTACCTTATATCCATCTTTCTCAATGTTCATCTCCCTCTCTCTCTCTCTATCTTTGTCTTTCTCCTTCTCTCTGGGTTCATGATGTATCATATGAAGATGTGGAAAAAGGGTTAATAAGGTGAAAGGGTGAAATAACACATTATTGGAATGGATTATTAAAGAGAACATGATAGAAAATGTGGCAAGAACAAAATTATTGACAATGATTTCAAATTTCATCGTCAGTACGATTTATCTTAGCATTGAGCACAAGAACATAATGATATGTTGGTGAATAGACATCATGTCATGTCCCGGATGGAGTTTAAAATTCTGCCCCAAAATGTACCTGTTGAGCCAAATGAAAGTGAGCTATGCATCCTCACGAGTCGTGCAGACTGCGACGGAGAGAGGAAGGAAGGATTAACTTGGTTCATTAACGTGTGAGAAACAAAAGCT